TATGTCTTCACCTGTAATTAGGGGGCTAGCGTGTCCCCAGAGACTATAAAAGCCTTGGTTAGCAATAAATATCTTTCTCTATGTGGACCACCAAGTGAGGCTGAGGTGAGCATTGCTACCATGAAATGTGTCTGACTCCATTATTTCAATCTCTGTTCTCTCTCTCATGCTCTCTATAACTTTGCTATAATCATTACTTATTACTGCTGTACAATTGCTCCTCCTGGACCCGTGATGATGTGTTAGGGGCTGGATTTACCCTGACACATCAGATCTTACTGAGACAGTTAACTTGATTGAAAATCTATGATCAACACAGGCTACTAGCTTCAATAGTGCAAGTGTATAGAAAACTGACGCTCTGTCAGTGATGAACTACTCAAAGCTGCAGGAGCCAGAGGATTTCCCTGAGGATTCCAAGCATTTACCAGTTTCTACTCTCTGCTGCTTACTCTCCCGCAAGGGAACCTACCCAATGCAAAGCTAACAGCTATCAAAGGCGAATACGCACTCTAGCTGCCTCCTGCATTGTCCTACCATAACTAGAGAACTAGACGTGGCCATCCTCAATCTAAGCAGATTTATTCTTCTTCCATCCTTCTGATGGTTCAGCTATAAATAGAATCTCCAGGATCAGAAACATAGACAATGGGATTATTAATAATGTTTCTTAGGGCCATAATTGTTTAATTATGCACTGGTATGTTTCAGATTATATCTGGAAGATAATCTGTTGTGCCAATAACAAGATAGCTTTATTTAGCCATCTGTATGCCAAGTTAATCTCGCTCATTTCCTCCCACTCTGTAACTCTGTTGGTTTGGGGACTACTAAATATATATTTGACTTTAAAAACAAAGAAGTATAGAAAAATGTACTATTAAAATAAAGAAAACCTTGTGATTGTCACCAATTCTATCATCATTTTAAACCACAAAATGTTTTAAATGCAGTTTAAAGTTTTAGCACTGCTAGCTGTCAGAAATGCAAGAGTAAGTTTTTTTTAAATTAATAAATTTTAATAATTTTATAAGCTACAATTAAAGGGTCAGAACTTTCAAAGATCAATTTTTAAAAGTACTTCCTGCCAGACTAAAACTTGATTTTTTTCCAGTTTTCTCCATGTGTTTGCTGTGTTTCCCAGTTAGTTGTTGACTAGCTCAAAAAACAAAGCGCAACCAGGGAAATGCTTATCTATGTTTATTACATAGGACTTAAAAAAACCCGAAAGATTGCTTTCCGTGGTGCTCATTTTGCCAATTAACATTTAACTGGGAACATGGCATCTCAAATAAGACTAAACAACCCAACCAACTGAGCATGCCTTATAGATCACAGCGCTTTCAAACAAAGGTCCTCAATCTGTGTGTAGCTCTTAATGTTGAAAACCGCCTTTAAACTATGCTGCGCTCTGTCTTCTCAGGGACATGTGCAGTGTTTGAATTGCCGGATTAAAGATGAAGTATGCTAATTTAGGTCGACAGAACAGAGTTATTCTGAAGGGAGCATGGGAAGGACCTGGGCATGCACTGAACCTTTGTCCCTGAAGCATTACGATGATGGCTTTGGGAGCATGAATTTAAAGCACATGCTTCTGAGTCAATACCTGCCAGAAATCCTGATCAGAAGATGAGAAAAAGGAAAAAAATTGACATTGATTATATATCACAAAACATTATAGCAGATAAACAGCCAACTAAACACTTGTAATAAAATCACCAAACATCTGAAAAGAGAAAATGAGGAACACATAGAAATGTCCTATATAATTTTTACTAGGCACAGTTCAAACAAAACTCAGTTCCAAAGGAGCATAAAATTAAACATAGAAGTTGTAGAAGACACCAGTTGTAGAAGACACCATGTTTTTACAAAAAGAAAATACAGAAAGTTACCGTGTTTCCCCGAAAG